ACATCTACGCTGGCGCTACAAAAACATGTTCATGCACCTAATGAACAAAGCTAATGCACCTAAACATGGATACAAGAACTCTGACACGATTACAGAGTTTTGAGCTCCAACATTTCACCCCCTAATCGTGACAGACACTGATGACACCCAGCCTCTGACGCATTTCGATGAACTTGACTCTCCCCAACGGCTTCGCCGTAACATCTCGCTAACCGCTATGCAGCCGGTGCGATGTGTTGAACCTCTGCAATACCATCACTAACACACTCTCTGATATAATGATATCGTGTGTCAATGTGTTTGCTTCGTTCATGATAGACTGGGTTTTTGCTCAACTCGAGTGCCGACTTACTGTCCATCAACAACTTGAACTTCTGAATTTTCTCTCCTGTCAAATCTGCAATGAGCCCGCTTAACTGCACACCTTGACATGCTGCCGCCGAGGCTGCAGACAATGTACTCAACCTCACAACTAGATAGAGAGACAACTCTTTGCTTCGAGAAGTCCAAGTGACCACATTGTCATTCAAGAAAAACAGTAATTCCCGAGGTGCTCTTCCTCTTCTCAAGGTCACCAAAGATGATCACTGCCGAATAGCCCAACAGCTTTGACTTGAAGTGGATCCTTTCAAAACTTGCAACCATATTCGAGATGTGCCTGCTATGTATCTCACAATCCTCTTGATAGCAGCCCGTGCTTTCTCAAGTTGGAGATTCCATGAACCTACTCACCATCCCTACAAAGAAAAAAGCTATATCGTGCCTAGAGTTCACCGGATATCTCAAACTCCCCAAATGCTTCAGATTTGGTTACATCTCCGACAAGATCAGCTTTCCAGAAGCAACTTGCAGTTTTGTTCCATTGGAGTATCAACTGGATTGCAACCACTCATACCACATTGCTCAACAATCTTAGTAGCATATGCTCTCTGACAGATTGTAATCTGCCCAGGACTTTGTTTCACCTCCATTCCCAAATAGTAGCTCAACATGCCAAGATCACTCATACTGAAAGTCCTGCACATCTGCTCTTTAAATTCAACAATCTTGTTCTTGTCAGGCCCACAAATGATGAGGTCATCCACATACACCCCAAGCAACAACAAAGTTGAGTCGCCACGCCTTCTTGTACACAAAGATGCTCCTCCTCACTCCCCGACAAAACCTAACTTGTGCAGTTCATGATCTAATTTTGCATTCCAGGCCCTAGGTGCCTGTTTCAGCCCATAAAGAGCTTTTCTCAGTTTCATCACCTTGCCTGGATACTTGGAATTCTGAAAACCTGGAGGTTGGTGAACATAGACTTCTTCTACCAGGTCTCCATTAAGAAATGCAGATTTCACATCCATGTGATGCACTTCCCATTCACCTTGAGTAGCTAAAGCTAGGATCAGATCTTACGATCTCCAATCTTGCAACCGGAGCAAAAACCTCCTCATAGTCCACCCCCGCTCGAGCATATCCCTTTGCCACTAATCTTGCCTTATATTTCACAACGCTTCCCCACGGATCCCTTTTGACTTTAAAAACCCACTTCACCCAATTGCTTTGTGTCCCTTTGGAAGATCAAAGATAGCACCAAGTGTTATTTTCCCTGATGGACTCTAGCTCGGTCTCCATAGCATCAACCCAAAGATCGCTCCTCTAGTGCTTCATCCACACCCAATGGTTCATCAGCAGCCAACAAACACATGCCACTGTACTCATAGTCAAGCATCTCTTCAGTGTGATCAAACAGGTCAGTAAGAGTTCTGTATCTTGGTGTTCTCTCTTCCGAATCAAAAATCCTCGGGCCGGGTGGTGTTGCTAGATTGTGGTGTGGAGATTGCATCAATCTAGGGAATTTTGTGGTGATGGTGTTGCTTCATGTGGAGCCACAACACCTCGCCCAACAGATGCCTCCCCTTCGCTTCTGTCATTGGTCAGACATCTGCACCATCTATTGTTGGATTTTCATCAGACTCATAGTGTACAACAAAAGATTCAGGTGACAGCTGCACTGTTTCATCTGCTGCATTGGTCCACTTCCAGGGTTGTCCTTCATCAAAAATGACATCTCTACTGATCACAAGACGACCAGTAGCAGGATCAAAGAACCTGTAACCCTTGGTGCCCGACTCATAGCCAATAAACACCATCTTGGATGATCTGTCAGATAGTTTTTTTTCAGACCAGACCAAGTGCTTTTACAAAAGCCACATGTACCAAAAAATTTTCAAATGACTCACTCTAGGTTTCTTTCCATGCCAAGCCTCAAAAGGAGTCTTGTTGTTCAGGGCCTTGGTAGGAGACCTGTTCAACAAATACACTGCAGTAGAGACTGCTTCACCCCAGAACACAGGTGGAACCTGCATTGTTTTCAGCAGGCATCTAGCCATTTCCACTACAGACTGATTCCTCCTTTCCACCACTCCATTTTGCTGAGGGGAATAAGGAGTAGTAGTGTAGTGTTTGATTCCACCTTCATTGCGAGAAAGAGAGAACAGGTGAGAAGTAAATTCACCCCCTCTATCTGTTCTCAGAGCCTTCAACTTGCCACCAGATTCAGATTCTGCCCTCAACTTGATTTTCTTGAAATAGTCAAGAGCTTGATCTTTTGACTTGAGCAACTCAACCCACATGTACCTGCTGTGATCATCAACCACCAACAAGAAATAGGAAGCACCACCTAGAGATTTAGGTGTGATATGCCCACATAAATCAAGATGTACAAGTTCTAAACAATTTTCTTTTCTCTCAAACTTGACACTTTTGGGAAAGGTTTTCTATGTTTGTTTGCCAAGAGCACAACCATCACAAACTTGCTCCACCTTTTTCACAGTTGGCATTCCATCTACCATCTGCCTCCCACTAAGCTCACTTAGACTTCTAAAATTTAGATGGCCATATCTGGCATGCCACTGCCAATCCTTATCATCAGAGTGTGCTAACAGACATATAGGTGAGGTGAGACCAAACTTTCATCAGATACAATCTATTAGCGCTTCTTGGAGCAGCTATCAACAAAGGATTTGTCATGATCAAAAACACACAATTTTCCATCTCCTAGAGTAACCTTCAATCCATTTTCTTCTAATTGACCCAGACTGACTATGTTACTTTTTAACTTGGGGATATAGTACACATTAGTCAGTACCTTGTGTTGTTGATGACGACCCTGCATCACCACTGAGCCAATTCCTTGAATCTCGACGCGAGACCCATCACCGAAACACACTGAGCCGCGAACGCTTCGATCGAGCTGTGTCAGCGCCGATCGCGTCCCGGTCATGTGATTGCTTGCGCCGGTGTCTAGCACCCACACACCATCGGGGACATCGATGGGGGTCACTTTCTCCGACAGGTGCACGATCTGAGTCGGCCCGCGCGCGACGTCGCATGTGGCCAAGAGCAGAGCGCCACCGTGATCGGCCCCGCCGACGGCGACGCTATTCTCCTCCGGTAGGTGCGTCCTTCTTCTCCTTCTTCTTCGTGGGCGTTTGCGCCTCCGCCCGGTGGCAGAGATGCCGCAATTGCGACACCGGCCTTTCCTTCTCGGCGTGCCCATGGAGGTCAACTTGACTGCACCCGTGGCACCACCGTCAGGGCGCGCCGCCGCCTTGCCCTTTGAGGAGCCGCCGCCGCCACCGCTCCCTCCAGCCTTGTTGCCAGGGTGGAATCGGTGCTTATGCTTCTCCAACCAATCTTCTTCGGCGAGCATTAGCCGCCCGGCCTTGTCAACGATCTGGTCGACCTTCTCATCGAAGCGCTCCTCCGCCGCCCGTAATCGCCCGACCAGTTCTTCGACTGTCAGCGTCTTGAGGTCGACGAACATCTCAATGGACACCACAATCTGTGTGAACCGAGGTGGCACCACACGCAGAAACTTCTTCACGACGCGGAGATCATCAATCGTCTCGCCCAAGGTTTTGAGATTACCGACAAGATTGGTAATTCTCATGCCGAAATCATCGACAGACTCCCCCTCCTTGAACTGAATGTTCTCAAATTCCTTCAAGAGCTTCTGGGCGTTCACCTCCTTAACGCGATCGGCTCCGATCCGCATCGTCTTCACTGCATCCCACGCCTCCTTCACCGTCGTCTTCCTCCCCAACGTCTGCCACATCTCCTTGGGTACAGAGCGCAGGAGGGCGCTCATAGCTTGTCGATCTTGTGCGCGCTTCGGGTTGGTACCTGGGTCGATCACCCCCCAGATTTCCAACGCTTCGTAGTTGCACTGCATCAACATGGACCACTCGGTGTAGTTGTCGCTGGTGAGCATCGGCCACATGAGTGAGCTCTCCTTCACAGTGGACTTGGATGTGTCGCCCATGGCGTTCGATGGTGAATGGCGGCGCGGCTCGCGTTCTTCTTCCGCGTCGGCTCTCTTGATGGACCACTGGATCCACCAAAACTCTCAACCTCGCTCCGATACCAGAATGTAAGGCTCGGCGGCTCGCCGTCCTTGGAATCACTCAGGTGATGGCGATGCCCGGCGGTGCGCGGTCGCCGCACGCAAGAACACGTGAACGAGACGCAGAGCGCGATACACGGCGAGTTGGTTAGCTGCTAATGGCGCAGCCTCACCAGATGCATTTTCATTGATATTTATACCGGCTCGACCGACATCCCTCGACCGACATCCCCGCCACAGGTTGTTGCTGCGTGATACGCCGTCATTTGCGAACGTCCACGCGACAAGCACGGCGAACAGCCCGTGGCGGAGTGAGCCTCCTGATTGCGGTCACGGCGCAGTGGTGTGCAAGTCTCCACCCCTGCCCGCAATTCTACGCAGTTACAAAAACATGTTCATGCACCTAATGAACAAAGCTAATGCACCTAAACATGGATACAAGAACTCTGACACGATTACAGAGTTTTGAGCTCCAACAGCCTACTATCACTGCTCGTTTTCGTTTCTTTGCATATACGTATACAAGGAGTCAAGGACCTGTCGCTCGCTTACGTAGCTGCAGGCGCCGACTACGTCTACGTGTCCACTGCTGGCCAGGCGACTGGCCTCATCTCGCCGTCGCTGTCAGATGCAGACCCTCGTCGATGTGGAGCGTGATCATGGTCCGGTAGTTGACGGTCGCCTTCTCGCCGTCGCGCAGGCGGAACACGAAGAAGCGGAGGAGCACCGCCGCGAAGACCTTCATCTGCCGGTACGCGAACTCCTTTCCCAGGCATATCCTCGGACCAGCCTGTGGAAACGCATAAGGCCGGATAAGGACGCGAGACGAGTTCATCTGAACATACACCGATACACGGTCTGCATGATTGCATTGGCGTTTGATTGAGAAAACTGAAGTCATATCTTACTTGGAACGCTGTGAATTTGAAGGGGCTTTCCTGCTGGAATTCGCCATTCTGATCCAGCCACCGCTCCGGCCGGAAGACCTCAGCGTCTTTGCCCCAGAGGTACTCCATCCGGCCCATGGCGTAGGGGACGTAGAACACGATGTCGCCCTTGCTGACGCTAGAACCGTCAGGCAGGACATCGTCTTCGAAGCACTGCTTGTTATCCTGAAATAACATGGTCAGTAGCTCAAATTCTAGAAAGGGGTGTCCTTTCAATTCCAGTGACTACTGACAAGAGTGTGTAGCACGAAGCCATGAACTAGTACTCCTACTCACCAGAGGAACCGATGGGTACAGCCTAAGCGTCTCGGTCAGTGCGGCGTGCAGGTAGTGCATCTTGTTCAGGGCCTCGTCGGTCAGGCTCTGCGCGAACTCGTCCACGGCTGCCGTCTCGCTGGCGTTGGTCACCTTTGTGGCCTCTTGACAGATCCTCTCCTGGATTTCCGGGTGCTTGCACGCCATGTAGAGGAACCAGGCAAGTGCCCCCGCCGTCGTGTCCTTGCCGGCGATGACAATGTTCAGTATGATGTCCCTCAGGTGCTTGTAGTCCACCGTCCCGGTTTCGTTCGTCGCCGTTGGGATGAATCTGGACAGCATGTCTTGCCTCGAATCCTACATCGCGCGATCGAGGGATGGACGTGTCAGTTCATTCAGAGTGCAGCAAGCTCGACAGAAACAGGTGGACGGAGCTGTTGCAGAGCAGCTGAGCAGGTGAAAGGTGATGGCTTTACACTCGCAGGGACAGCGTCCTCGGTCGCCTTGCTGTCAGAGAGCTCCTGTGCTCTGTCGCGGATGCACTTGTACACGAACTCGTCGACGATCTTGACCCGCTGCCTGAGCTTGGCCTCGGAGCCGACGCCGAGGAACCTCTGCGCCTTCCAGAAGGCGTTGACGTAGCGGAGCAGCGTGAACTCGCTGGCGTCGTCGAACGCCGCGGCGAAGCGGCTCCCCTCCCCCGATCCCGAGCCGCCGCCCAGCAGCGTGTCGAGGTCCAGGCCGAAGGCGATGGTGAAGATGGAGTCCATGGTCGCCCTGAGCGCGAGGCCCTGGAACTCCATGGGCTGCCCCGACGCGGCGTTTCCCGAGACGATGCCGGCCAGCCTGGCGGCGTTCCGCTTGAAGACGGCGCCGCTGAAGTCGCGGAGAGCCCTCGTGGAGAAGTCGTAGCTGGCGATCTTCCGCTGCTGCCTCCACTTGTCGCCGTCCACGGCGAAGATGCCGTCGCCGAGCAGGTCAGCCATGTTCTCGTAGTTGAAGGTGCCCTGCACGGTTCAGACGAGGCGCACATCCTCATCATCTGCCGGAAACACAAGGAAATTCGGATACTAGACTAGATAGCCTGCTCTAGAATTAGAAGGCCCATTAAAGGTCCATACGAAAAAGACATGCTTTATGGAGGCCCATTCATTGTCCAACCAAAAAGGGATCTCTTCCATCCTTTTGCGTGGTGGATCGGGATTCAGAGGCTCGTTACAGTGGGCCAAAAAAAATAGACAGCAGCCAAAAACTGACTGACTTAAAAAAGAAATCATTAAAATAAAATATCAGCTGAGCTGACTGCTTTGAGAAGGACGCCTGATCTGTTGGAAGCTGCGCGGCCAGCTTGCATTGGGTTATCATAATTCATCTTTTTCAGCTTGTTTTTTCGATCGGAATAGTATTTTTCTCTCACAATAAATCAGCTAAAATAGTGTTTCGTCTTATTTTTTCAGTGAAACAAACGGAGCCATGGGTTGGATTAGGGATGCTAACTTGGTCCTAAATGTCAAAGTACTACCTCTCCCGTGAACTTCTTTTCTTGTGTGCTTCCTGACTCCTCAAGGCACACATTGAGATGCGGACAGTTCTAGTGTATATCGAACACCGATCAAGCTCGGTTCGGCCAGCTATAAAGTTTTGGCGTATATACGTAGTGTATGGTGGAGGACTGGAGGGCACCCCAACCCAATCTTGTGACGCCGCTCAGCCTCCACAAGTTGCTCAAGACTTCAAGAGCGACGTCCGAGGAAAGGCCAACGACGGACAGCGAGTGCGCGTGTCTTCCTAGTAGCTAGGCGAAGTTCTAGTTCTAGCCCCTCGGCCAGATTTGCAGCGCACAAAAGTAACATGCAAACAGAGGAAGCATATATACTAGCTTAATAAGCTTATATATCACTCTGCTCACCTTGCCGTAGTTGGCGAAGTTGGTCCTAAGGATGTGCTCGACCACGGCGGGGTCGCACGTGTAAATCTGCCGCCGGCCGGCCGGCACCAGCAGCTGGAAGGTCTTGCGCTGGCGGAACAGGTCCGTGTGGTAGTCGTGCAGCCGCCGGACGTGGTACAGCTGGTGGAACACCGTACCCACCACGGGCGCGTACCGCTTCGGCTGCTTGCTGCCGCCACCGCGCTGCCCTTGCCCGCGGCGGCCCACATGCAGCAGGTAGTACGAGCAGATCGCGAGCAGCGCGACGCCGGCGGCGGCCAGAGCCGTGGAGTAGTAGTCTTGTGCTCCCATGGCTGCTAGAGGCTACAGAGTTTGGGTTGGCGGCTCTTGCGGGGCAGCTGTAGTACTTGCAGGATGGTCGTTTATATAGGCGTGCGTGATGGACTCTCTCACTCGTCGTCATTCCAAGAATATATTATCGTTACTGTTGCATGTCTCAGTCTCTACAAAGAAAAATCATCGTTACCCCCACCCCCCAACCCTGGGAAGGGGGAAACACAGGGTAGAGATTTTGGGATGGGCTTCGAAGAATTTGCAAGATGGTCGTTATATAGGCGTGATGGCCTCTCTCACTCTCCCTCATCGTCAAACCGTCATCGAAGAACAATCATGGTTACCCCCACCCTCCAACCCCACCCCCAACCCTCCAAAGAAAACAAAACTGAAGTCATCCTATGCAGCATGCAACATATATCCACAACATTTTGAACTTGGCACTACGTAAAAAATGATTTTTAACAACTGGTCAAAATTTTTGTAGGGACGGCTGGTGATGAAGCCGCCCCTACAGTGACGTGCTCGGGTGCCCAGACACTAGCCGCCCCTACAAATATAACAGTAGGGGCGGCTGGTGATACGAGCTGCCCCTACAAATGGGGTCTGATCTGTAGGGGCGGCTCAATCACCAGCCGCCCTTGAAATTTCTATTTGTAGGGGTGGCTGGTGATTGAGCCGCCCCTATAAATGCCCCCGTATATATAGCTCGGATTTGTAGGGGCGACTCAATCCCCAGCCGCCCCTACAAATGACCCACATATAAAACAGCTGCATCACTTCTTCCTCCTCGGGTCACTCACTCCAACCCGCGAAAGAAAGGTAGGGAGGCTTTGGACACCTCCAAAAATTGCTCTACTAAGGGGGAAAGTTTTGGTCTCAAATCCTTTGGTGGAGAGGTTGTAGAAGGTAAGAAAATGCTATTTCACATTTTTTTAAGTTTTAATGGTTGGTTAGTGAGTAATTAGAGTTTTATTTTTCTCTCTTCTATGGTGCTTGAGCTACTTATGAAGCAAATTAGACCCAAGTTTTAAATGTACTATGGTAAATTAGGGAGGAGAACAAGATCACACCCTTATTTGATCTATGTTTTTTGATTTTAGTGAACAATTAGTAAGTTTTATGGATATTTCATGTGCATGTGGATCTAGATATAGGGTTTGGTTTTTTTTATTAATTTCGTTTTTGTAAATTTATGTTTGATGAAATTGGACTAGGGTTTGTATGAAAGATATTGGGTAAAATATAATTGTTGCTAATTGTTGTCTTTGAAATTGTTTATTGTAATCAATAAATATGTATTTTAATTATTTATGGATAAATGACCCATTAATTAATTTTCCTCTACCATGGCGTGTTTGTATGCTTCATGTAATTATATTAGATTTATATTCATATATATCTAAAGTATATACAATTATTCTCAAGTAATTATTAATTTGATTCATTTTTATATATATCTGAATAAGTAGCCCTTTAATATTTATTTTGTTGTTGTTGTAAAAGATGGAGTACATGAACTCTTGGATATATGGTTCGTTAAGGTTCAAAGCAGGTTTCCGTGAAGAGGTGGATAAATTTATTGAAGCTGCAAAGAAGCATGCAACGACATTGAAAGAGAATACGGATACAATTATTTGTCTCTTTAAAGATTGCAAGAACTGTATGGCATGAACATATGTGACTATCATCAAATCACATTTGATTATGCGAGGATTATTGAGGACTACACAGTGTGGATTCATCATGGTGAAATGGTTATTGTTAACGACGAGGATGAGGAGGAATACGACGACGAAACCATAGAATCCCTGTCCCAATATTCAGCAGAGCTTGATGCACGAATGGATTTCGAGTTTGGTAATGAACAAGGTGGTGATACTGGTGGTTGGGATGGTAACGACGAAGATGGTGCCAATAATGATGGTGGAGCACGTGTCGGGGATGAAGATGATTTGGAGGACATGATTCGAGCCCTTGGACCAGAGATTTTACTAAATAGTCCGAAAGGTCTAGAAAATTTAGAAAGGATGACAAAAGCATCAAAGGAGACTGTATGGTGTTGAAAAGGGCTGTCCGACACATTGGACATTGCTATGTTTTGTGCTTGAGCTGCTCATCCTGAAGGCTAAGTACGGCTGGTCAGACTGTAGTTTCAATGATCTATTGCATCTCCTGTCATGGGTGCTGCCACAACCAAACTCAGTTCCCACCAATACATACCAAGCGAAGAAGGTCATAAGTCCATTGACAATGGGGGTTGAAAAAAATCCATGCATGCCCCAACCATTGTATACTTTTTCGTGGCAAAACGTTCAAGTCACTGGATAAATGTCCCTAGTGTGGGGCCAGCCGGTACAAGAACAATGACCTTTACGGTGGGGACGAACCCTCCACGGGAAAAAAGAGGAATAAGAAGGGTACAAAAAGGTGGTACAAGAATCTCAGCCCCCAGAGGACACTCCATTAGGCAACGATGCAAAGCAGAGAAGAATTCCTACCTTGGTAATGTGGTACCTGCCAGTGACCGACCGCTTGAGACGTATCTTCCTAAACCCTAAAGAAGCCGCACTCATGACATGGTGGGATGATGAGCGCAAGGTGGATGATGATAAGATTGCACACCCGACTGATTGTAGTCAGTGGCAAAGGTTTGATGAGAAGCACAAAGAATTCAGTGATGACTCAAGAAATGTACGGTTTGGCTTGATCACCGATGGAATGAATCCCTTCAATGAGAGGATGAGCGACCACAACACATGGCCAGTGATCTTGACCATGTACAACATCCCAACATGGTTGTGTCAGAAGAGAAAGTACCTTCTCCTCACTATTCTTATTTCTGGCCCTAAACAACTAGACATTGATATAGACATGTTCCTCGAGCCTTTGATGCAAGAAATGGAGAGGCTATGGAGGCATGGGGAGCAGATGTACGATGCATTCCGAAAGGAGGACTTTATATGTAGAGCAATAATATTTGTTACTACCAATGATTACCCCATACTGTTTGCTTTGTTTGGATAGATCAAAGAAAAGACGGGATGCTTGGTTTGCTTGGATGGTACTACATGGGTGTACTGGATGCATCCAAGAAGATAGTTTACCTAAGGAACCGACGCTTCTTAAAGATAAGTCACAAGTACCATAGCAAATTGTTCTTTAGATTTTATGACAACGATCCGGAGATTGAACCCCCTCCGGAGAGACGTCATAACGGAGAACACGTGTACAGAATGGTGAAAACATACGCGTCATCTATGGAAAGAAGAATCCAGATGGGACGAACAGAGATAGAAGCACACCTCCTGTCAAAGGCGTACCTTTCAAGAAACAATCTATCTTCTTTTAGTATCTGCCTTATTGGCTAGACTTGGAGGTCCCCCATGCCATTGATGCTATGCACGTGTAGAAGAATGTCTTTAAGAGTCTCATTGCTAACTTGATGGACACAGGCAAGTCAAAGGATGGTCTAAAAGCACGGAAAGACATGGTGCAGCTAAACGTGATGCCACAGCTTCACCTGGTACCTGAGGCTAATGGAAAATATACTCTGCCCGCGGCGTGCTTCAACCTAACACCAGACAAGAAAAGAGCTATATGCACTTTCCTGAGGGGGATCAAAGTCCCGACTGGATTTTCAGCAAATGTTAAGAAGCTAGTGTCGATGAAGGACTTGTCAATAACACACTGCAAGGCTCACGATTGCCCTGTGATGCTGACAATGTTTCTACCTATTGCAATCAGGGCTATAAAGCCAGAGTTCTTGAAAATGGCCATCACCCGCATGTGCTACTTCTTTTCGAAGATCTCACAGAAGACGATTGGCAAGCAAGAGCCGAGTGACCTACATGAATTTATGGTGGAGACACAAAACCAACTGGAGATGTGTTTACCTCCTGCTTTTTTTGATATAATGCCACATCTCATGATTCACATGGTTCATCAGATACAGGTGCTGGGCCCTTGCTACTTGCATGAAATGTGGTCCTACGAGCGGTTTATGTCGGTTCTAAGTTGATATATGCATAATCGAGCATACCCAGAGGGCTCCATGATAGAGGGTTACAGTACTGAAGAAGTCATCGAGTGCTGTCAAGAGTACCTAAAAGTACAGAAAGAGATTGGTAAACCCGATTCTCGTCACAAGGGTAGGCTGGCTGGGAAGGACACCAGTGGTAGAAAAGTGTTCATCGACCATGATTACAAAGAGGTGAGTCGGGCGCATTACAGTGTCTTGCAGAGTACACAACTGATGCAACCGTACATTGATGAACACTTGGCTACCATTATGGCGGAGAGAAATGGCCGTTCGGATGATTGGGTCATGAAACAACACAAGCAATGACTAACTACATGGTTGAAGGACCAAAACATACCGCCTGAAGAAACCACATACTCTATTACCATCAGTAGATTGGTAGAGGGGCCATCGAGACAGGTGACATCTTGGAATGCTTATGATATCAATGGATATATGTACTATACCCACGCAAAGGATAGTAAATATGTGAACCAAAACAACGGCGTTCGAATAGAGGCTCTCGATGGATTGGGGTGAAAGATCTAATACTTTGGCATCATTGAAGAGATATGGGAACTTGACTATGGAAGGGATATAACGGTGGCCCTGTTTCGATGCCGCTGGATCAAACAACACCAACTAAACGAGATCGGATTGAGAGTCATGGACCTCGAGAATCTAGGCTACCAAGATGACCCTTGGGTGCTCGCTTCACGTGTCGCACAAGTTTTCTATATGTCTGACCCACAAAGTAACCTCCCCCCGAAGAAAAAGACAAAGCATGTGGTTGCCTTCGGGAAACATCACATTATTGGAGTTGATGGCGTGGACGATGTTGAAGCTTACAATAACTACGATGAGATGTCGCTATTTATAGACTTTTCTAAGAAGATCAGTGTTGTGGAAAAGAACCTCCCCAAAGACATATTGCCATAGGAACGAAAATGTGTCAAGGGAAAGTCGTTACAACGGGCTAGCTAGTTGTTGAACGTGG